TAATCTATTCAACATTGAGTACTGTGTTTGTTTGTTTTAATTTCCATGGAACTTGAACAGAGGGTGGTTGTTTTGGTTTGGTTTGGTTTTGTGTAATTGAATGGAAATACTCTGTGCCTGAAAATATGATCTATATTTCACCTTAGCAACATAAAGTATTAAGCCAATATGCAGCACTTACGCATGTACCCTCCCTCCCCTCACTGCTCTTCTTCTTAACTGATTATGATACATGAAAACAGAACCATCAAGCTGGTTCATATCAACCAGGCTCTTACACACAGTGTTGTCCTACCTAGGGCTTAAGGAAAATGAGGAAAGCATTTGTCCCGGGGAAAGAGAAAAAATGGAAACCCTTCTCTTGAATACATACATGAATAAGTAACAGAATAACTGGTTTTTGCTGTTGGTGAGCTGATGTGCAGAATTGTTCTTAGAAGCACAGAAATTGTGACTCATGTTAGTGGTGCAGCTAGGTGTTAAAAAGGTGAGGTTTCTCATTGTTTTTCTTGTTGGCTGGTTTTTGTTTGGTTGTTTTTTTTTAATGCTGTCTCTGCCTGTAGTTTGAACTCTCCAGAGGCTGCTCTTTGTTAGTCTCCAGATCAGGGGAAAAGAGTCTGCCTCCTGCTTGTATTGCTGTCTCAGTCAGCTTGGCTTTGAACCACCCCAGCATCCCTTCACTTCTTTCAGTGCGTCTGTTGGAGCAATGCTGTCTGGCTTTAGGCCCTTAGCAGTGATCTTGTGCAGTCTGGGCTGCAAAGTAGATAGCAGCCAGAAAATCAACTTGCCGAGTGCAAGAGAGAAATAAAGTACAGTAGTGCTTGCTTTAAACTCAGTTTAGCCATTTTTAGAGGTCATCATATAATACAAGATCAGACAAAATGGCTAGAGAAAAAGAATGAAGGTGGGATACATTTTATTGTGCCGCCATTCCTCCCCCCCCCCCCGGTTTTGTATTTCCATGATGGTGTAGAGAATTTTCAGCATAACTAATGTGTCCTGGCTGACTTTGTGCAAGTAGCAAGAGACTGGCTGCAAAAGTGAATTCAGAGCTGCTCCTGTAGAGACTTTGAGGTGGGGCTTGTGAAAACTGTGAGCTATTGGAAGGTGCCACTAGTGAAGTCTTTACCTTGTTACTTTTTGGAATCAGGTTCCAAATGGAAATAAACCCATTATACGACGCCTGTAGCTCTGGGGTACTTGAGGGTTCTAACAGCTTTCATGTACCTACTCTGATAGGGAGATTCAATGTAGAATCCCCTCTGCTTGGCACTGCTTGTGCTTGGTTTTGTGCTCTTCATGTGCGATAATGATACATAGCACGGTGGGATTTGATGATGTAATAATCTACAAAAAGATCACCTTTCCCTGAGTGGATTTAGATAACTTCCCTTCTTAAAATGCAGTTACCTTCCAAATTTTCCATTGTTTAAATGCCTTGGAATTCCTTCAGAAATCTCTCATCCATTATTAAGTATTTCTTCCCTTTCACACCCAAACACTAGAAAATGTGCAGTATTTGTTGCGCTTGTTTCTCCACTTGATGTTTCTCCATTTCATTTAACTTCATATTAGATTAGATCTGCAGAATTTTTTTTTAGATGCTGTGTTGTATTCAACCTGTGTTCCAGGCTTAAATTAGCCTAAGGGAGTGTAGGACAGTTCTTGTTGGGTGATTACTCCACTGAAGGTTTTTAGACTGTCCTTAAGTTGTAGATCTTCAGTAGATGCTCAGAGGTTTGAACAAGACTTCTTAAGTCTCTCATCTGCTAAACTGTACATCTTTGGTCACATTGTTGATACTTGCCTCCTCATAATGTTTGACAGTAGACCGAGTGAATATGAACAAGTACTGTAGGAGGAATTGGTCATCCCTTTGTTTTCTGAAGGCATGTAAGAGCCTTGAAAATAGTCCCATTTAATGAAAAGCTGTGTTGATGTCTTCAGCTTGTTAATAACAGAGCAGTGGGTGTAGGTACCCAGTAATTCATCAGTAAGCAGAATTCATATCCTCTGGGCAGTGAGGTGTGGCTCTAATATGTTAGTGAACTTGTTTTCATTTGCTTGTAGCTGTGGGGTTTCTGATGTCTTAGCTATGGCCTAGGTATGTGGAGACTAGACTTGCTAGAGCAAGTGTGGGCAACCAGGCCAGGTAGATACACAGTGCTTACCTGATAGGACTGGCATTATTTAGTGTAAGTGGGCCACATTTGTCCTGTAGCTTGAGGATTAAGGGATTATTAAGATTGTTAAAGACAGACTTCTGGTGAAACAAACTTACTGATGATTCTGGAAATTCGTAAAATATACTATTTAACACCTCTGACATTTTAGAGGTATTCCTCTAATGGAAGTAACAGGAGAAGTTTTTCTCTCAGAATATTAGTTCATGTTTCGTGAGAATTGTGTGCTCATGGTTGGTGCTGGCTCCAAACGGTTACAGGAGACTTGAAAATGATTTTCTGAGAACTTCACAAATACAGCAGATACCTGTTAACTGGCCAGACAAGACGGTGGCCTTCTTGATGGCATTTAGTACCTATCTAAAGCATATGAATTTGACTGTGCCACTGGGCTGCTTAAGTGCCTGCTTCACAATATTGTTCATTTGGAGCAGGTTTCCCCTTGATTTTGTACTCTCGGGTGGTGAGAGAACAAGTAGGTAGAAGAAGGTGGGAAGGGTAGTGGAATAATAAAGACGGTGCTTGGTAAGAGGAAAGATCAAGAGATGCTCAGGGATGTAGCCTGTCTCTTCCTCTTCCCTCTCAGTCCACTTAAAATAAAACTTTAAAAGATAAGAGAGCAGAATGTAATTCAGTCAAGGTTGGAACAAAGCAAGTTCCTTCGTTTCACCTCAAAAAACATTTGCTTGTTGTCTCAAACCAAGACAAATACTTTTAATTACAGATCTAGCAAGTTCTCCCCTAAAGGGAATAAAGCAGCCTCCTGACCACATACATTCCCTGCCCTGTGAGTCACTGCGTGCTGCGGGGACCTCTGCTTACCTTGAGGCTGTTGCTCTGATCCTCTCCAGCCTTCATACTAATGTGAATTGTCCCCACAACCCGTTAGTTGCCACAGAACTGCCCTCGCTTCTCTGGTGGCAGGCTGAGGCTTGCCACGTTAACACCATGTCAGTGTGGTTGAGCCTCACCACTTTAGTGCTGTGTCTGTGTAGGTTTGTGGGGAACACCACCTAGATTCCCTGGATTCCTGGCTTGCCAGAGAGGGCTCATTCTCTTGGCAGAACTCTTCTGCTATGAAATGTTGTGCTTCTGTTCAAATTTTCTTAGGCTTGTCCTGTTCCTTCTGAACACCCTGGGAGAAGAGGTGTTAATGTGCTGCACCAACTGCAACAGCTTAGAGGATTGGAGCTGTTACTCTACAGTCCCATTTCACAAAGGTGCCTTCGGGCCTCCCAGCTGGCTGTTGAGAAGATGCATGTTCCTTTGAGTACTGCTCGGTTTTGACTGAAATAGCTTTAGCCTTGTATTTCTGTGATCCAAATGTACTTACTTTTTTTTTTTTTTCTTTTTCCATGGATGGCTATAAAAAGTACAGCTGGTGCCACATAAAGAATTCAGTTTTCTGCTTCCAGAGAGCTATGGCTTCTCTGGAAGTTGGTGGTGGGTTTTCATAGAGAATTTGGCACAGCCTGTTTCCAGATCTGCCTTGGTGATCTTTCTGCTTTCTCCTCACCTTATGCATCTCTCACCTGATTGAAAATGGAGTCAAGGAGGAGTTTTAGGGAGCAGATACTGAGCAGGAAGGAGGCAGCATTATGTCTGTGTCAGGTTGAATGAATAGCTTCAGTGTTTAGAGCCACTGAGGAATTTTGGACACACAGTCCAATGAGTCACAAAAGGGCTTTGGGGGGAGGCAGAGGGAAGAGGGCAGTGTTTGCATACAGCTGATACTGTTCCAGAAACTTTATTGGTATTGAACTTGATATCACTTGTGACTATCCTGGGGTCTCTCAGAAGCACCAAAATATTTGAATATTGGTTTTAATATAGTGAAAATGTGTTTTAGAGTTTCTTATCCTACATAGCATCTGCTGCTCAGCAGACTGGTGCAAACATCTGCTGTGCTCCCACAGCTGAAGCAGCCTTAATTTGTATAACTGAGGAGGAATTAGCTGTGTTGAGATCTCCAGGCAGAGCACAGGCCAGGAGAGGTTGCCCTTGAGTTTCTGGTAAAGCAGATCCTGGAAAGCAGGAGCCAAGAGAGAATTGACAGTGGGGTCGTTCTTCCAAAATGGGAATACAGGATCTGCATCACCCTCATGCTCCCTGGCATATTGGTTTGTAGAGGCTTTATGATCCAAAACCCTCAATAGTGCAGTTACAGAAGGGAATCCTGGCACTGTCACACTGGGTGAATCCTTTGGTGTCACCCTGAGGCTCTGCAGGGCCTGGAGTGTGTGCAGGGAGGCCGATCCATGCTCCCCTCAAGTGTAACACTGCCACTCACTCTGGGAGCATTTCAGCTGCTTCCATGTTCCTCTGGGGAATGCATCCTGCTGACCCTACTTAGAGGACTGCCAGTTGCACAGGGCTGTGCTTAGGCATTCCCGGCGCTTCAGCAGTTTTCTGTGGGCTGGATCCAGCTTGTGTTTAGCTAGCTATGCTCTAAAACATTGCGGTGCCCAGGGCAGTCACCAAAAATGAAGGATCTATGGTTTGATCCGTTATGAAAAAATGTCTTCAAGTACAGCTGGTTTTGTGGCATTCAAAAAGAGTGGAGTGTCCAGGAGTCATTGAAACAAAGCCTTCATTCTCTCATTAGACTCTTAACTTTGTTAGGAAACAGCATCCTATTAGGTTTTGACTTTCCATGGTACAAACATTGCCCTATTTTCTAATAACTTGCATTTTATTCCTAATTTTTATTCTGTCTCAGAAGTAATGTGTACATTCCTAAACAAATGAACACTATAGCTATTTAGGCCAGAAGTATACCTTGACTAAAACCCCATCTTTCTTTCCTCTTCTTCCCAGGAACTCTCAGAACTGGAGAAAAGAGATCCTCAGGAGCTAGTTGGTAAGTTCACACAGATGTATTAATTCCTGTGTTTTTTTCAAACTAAACCTTCTAGTATTCCCCTTTGTAAGAAGCATCTTCACCTTGTCCCGACAATGCTGCAGCTGGAATTACTGCCCTGCAATGTTTGATTTCCAGGGAATATTTTCAGTGAAGTCTTCTTCTGGGAGAAAGGTACCGTGCCCAAAAATACAGACTGGGGCTGCTTCACACACGCACACGCACACACACACGCACACGCACACGCACACGCACACACACACATACACGCACACACACACATACACTGAGCTGGGGCTGCTTCCCCCCACACACACAGTGGGCTGGGGCTGCTTCCCTCACTCTTAGCCTCCCCCCCGCCTTTTCTTCTTCCCCTCCCCTTTTTTCTTCCTCCCTCTCTTTCTCTCCCCCCCCTTCTGCATTGCTCAGCCCACAGCAGAAGGAGAACTAGTGTCCTTCCATAGATGGGTGATTCACTGGCATGTTGTTGCCTCCAGTTCTTCCCTCTGATTTGGCTGCTCTGGTGCCAGGAAATCAGAAACCCCCGCGCCCTGGTTTATGCCAAGCAGACTTGATGAGCGTGCCAAAGAATGCAGCTTTAGAGACGAGCACCACTGGTTTATTGTCTCCAGGGGGAAACCATGTCCCTCTGCTCACCCTTTCCAGGTCTTCCCTTGTTTGTTTGGTTTTTTTTTTTTTGCATTGTGCGACCATTATAGACAAAGTGGCACCTTATGCTGCCTGTATCCCTTGTGATTGCTAAAGATGCAGCATACAAGTGAACCTTGAAAGGGACAGGAATTCTTCATCCTGTCTGGTGAGCAGTGTTACTCCCTCAGAGCCCTGCAGCACAATGCTTTACCTTGCCTCAGCTGATGCACACCTCAGTCTGTCTGGGTACAGCCAGCTCTCTGTTCCTATGCTCCCTATTCTTTTGGTTTTTCTCTTCACTAAGAAGATGTGTCTACCCATCTGTAGGAAATAAAACTATGTGTCCTCCATCCATGTCTCCAGCATAGGCTTTGGACTAAGAGCACACAGTTTGCCTTGTGGCACTTCCTGTCATGCTCTGCACTGGTTTTGTACTCTTGGATATGCCGGTCAAATAACCCATCTGTCTTAAACTGAAGCAGGTTAAATGTAGCATTTCCACTTAGTTATTTGCCTCACCAAGAACTGGCAAGTAGATATTCTCCAGTGACTGCTGAGATGATGAATCTTTCCTAGTTCTATCCTAATACAGGCCTCCTACAGGGCCCAAGAACAACTGAACATCTCAGCTTGCTCAGTGCATACGCTGCCTGTACAAAAAACTCCAAGCACCTAGTGCTTGTGCTGATAACATTTTTAACTTTTAGATAGCTTTGGAGGAGAACACACAGGCTGAGCACCAGTGGCAGTGCTATTCAGCAGCAGGGTGCTTGAGCTACAGACCTGACAGTGCATTGGCTCCTACTGTCTTGAAGCTGTGGGATCTGCTTTCTGGCCTTCATGCTTTCTGGACTGCGAATCTGATTAGGGAAGATATTTACTTACTGTGAGCCAGAGCCTGGGTGTGCCTGTAGTGATTAATCGTGCCAACAGCCGACTTCCTGAGGTCTCCACATGGAGATCCTCTGGGCCATGAGCCAGAAAGCACAGGCCCCATCAGAGGCTGCAGCCAGTGTCACTGCCGCTGACTCAACGAAAAGTAAAACTTTGATCTTGGCAGAAATAACAGGATGCACAAAGCAGTTGGATGTTTCCTGCGAGGACACACCTTGTTAACTGTCCATCTGCATTTACTGCTCTATACATGGTAGAAAGTGCTGCTTGGGACTTTGAAAGCACAAAATCTATATAGGAGCCTGTAGCCATATTTGCAAATTCCAGGATTATTTTAATGATAATCTCAGTTGCCCCTTCCTCTAGGGAAAAAGCTGGTGGGAAGAGGCTGTTCTGCTGTCTGTTGGAAAGGAAGCTTGAGGGCATGGATAATTTGTACTTCCTTACTGTAAATAAACCCGAAGGGGTTGAGCTCATAGTTTTGTTCCTACTGATGTGGCATTTCAGTCTGGCTGCAATGTGATGAAATAACTGAGTAATGATGAATGTTAGTGCTCAGCTTGCGAGGTGCACGTAGCCTCATTGCTGACCCAGACTTGAGTGTAGTTATGGGGGGGTTGCAGTAGACAAAGATGTTTTAGTTCTGGTTCCTTGTAAGCCACTAAGAGATGCTTTCCGCCATCAGCATACTGTTGATGATAAATGATTGCTTTCACATGGCTCAAACAAAAGAGCAGATGAGCACCAAGACCTGAAAGTCACATGTCAGAATATTTCATTGGAAGCTCTTGCTCTGCCTCCAATGGTATTTTTGTTTCAAAGGAGCATGAATTGATTGCTGAACATACTCTTACGATTTTGACTTCTTTGCTGGCTAGATGAAGTTCCTGAGTTTATATGAGGCCACAGTTCCCCTCCCCATACGTGTTTTGTTTCTCTGTAGCTCTGTGGGTGATCTGCAAAGATAGAGAGCCTGAGGAATGTCTAGTCTGGAGCTAGGCTTGATTTTTTTGGTTGGTGGTTTTTTTTTTTTAGGTCCTTTCTTTGCCTCATGAAGTCTGAATTTTGTGCTCTTTTTTCCTTTTTTAATGCTTCTGCGGATGCTGTGAGTCTCTTGAGCCATTAATCGGCTTTCCTTTTCCAGAAAGCCTGGTGTGCTGTCTGTTGTGCACACTTCTGCCTATTTGCTACTGTCTTTCTGGATTCCTGAAACTCTAATTAAACCGAAGGCTTCCCTGCCCCATCAGCAGCTGTAACCTTTAACAAGTGTCTGCCTTGTTCTCAGGGAGCTCCAGTTTGCCTGCCTGTCTGCAGGGGCTCTGGCAAGCTTTCCTTCTTCCATAGAGCCACCCGCTTAGTAAATGCCAAAGGACACTTTTTGTTCATTACCAGTAACTGCTGAAGAATTTAACCCCTCAGCAACATTTTGATCAACTAGAATGAGTGGTCGCTCGCAAGCTTTGCATCTCTAAATGATACCATCCTTAGTGCATTTCATTTCAACAAAAGAAATGGGAACTGTAGTAGCACTGGACTTGTGTAGTGTGGATTATCTGTAACCTCAGCTGTGGTGCCCTGTGCTGGAAGGCAGGAGAGTACGCTCTGCTCAAATGCTCTATCTGTCCTTTGGGCCCTTCTGGGCTTTAGTCAAAGGAGCTGAACCTGGGCATCCTGGAACTGCAGGTCAGGCAGCTTTTACAAAGGAATGTATAATGGAGGAGCTGCAAATGTGAATGGCTTGGTTGAAATTGCTCCTCTGCTGGCATCGGGTCTCTTTCATCCTCTACAGACTTGTGACTTTGGGATGTGTTCTCTGTACAAGTTATGGTTAAAAACAATCTCAGCTGATTAAAAGTGGTACAAATCTCTGCTCCAAGATTTGGCTAGAAAACTGCCCTGGTTTTCTCATAATAGCAGGAAAGTAGCTAGCAGTAGGGGGAATGTGATCGTTTCTTTTGCTGGTAACTGTAACCTTTACAGGGCAATCAGGTACTCTTGTTAGTATGTTCCAGCACAAACTGCTGTAGAAATCTGGCAATCTGTGCTGGTCCGTTCTCAGTCCTGCAGAACAAGTTGTTCTTTCTAGTATCAGACTCAACCTTGCTGACACTGTAAACAAAGATCAAAGTGCCTGTTAAGAAGTGTGAATCTAAAGATGAAATGTAATTTCTTGTGGTTAACTCCTGACAGCCTTGGGGAGCCTTCAAGGACCAAGCCTTGAACCATTTTGATTCATGTAGGCAGGTCTTGAAGTAAATAGTACTCAGAGTGATTACCTCAGAAATGGCAATGGGACAGGCTGCTTTAGATTGATCCTGTGATCATCCACGTACACAGCCTGATTCTCCCTGAGAGAGTATCCTGGCACAAGTTTTGTCAGAGATTCCAGGTTATCTGTGCTGTTCAGAGCAGGACTTTAAAGTGCATGTGGAAGACCTGGAATAGTGGAGGGCTCAGTATGTGGTGAATAGTGGAGGGTTTAGAGGTACATTCCAGAAACCAACCTTTGTTCCTCTGAAGATGGTTTGCCTTTGAGGATCTTATCAACAATTGCAGCTCAAGCAGGAAGTAGCTTAGCTTTTCACATTTCTGTTCTGGGGGGAAGAGACCCCTGAAAATAAATCTTTAAGAATGTGTGCCACAGAGCTGCAGTATGAGGTAGATATGAAGCAAGCAAGCAAGCATCCTATGCTTCTTCTGATAATACATGATCTAAGGTTAATTGCTTCTTGCTCAGCACTTTGAGAACACCACAAGTACCAGTTGACAGCATTCCATTCTCTCCTTTCCCCAGCTGCTTTCAAAAATAGAGTAGCACTAGCAAGGATATAAAACAAGTTTAATGATTTGCATGGCTTAAATTCCCTTCAGGATGGCCAGAACTCATGCTCACTTTGTTCTCTATAGCTTCTTTTTCAGAGAGGGTGCGGAACATGTCACCAGATGAGATCAAAATCCCTCCTGAGCCTCCTGGCAGATGTTCTAACCACTTGCAGGTTGGTATAAGTCCACTTTTTTTTTTTTAAAGGCTTGGAGTTCAATACGGGGGGGGGGGGGGGGGGGGTGTTGGGGAACTCTGCCCAGTGTTTTATACAAATAAAAATCCAGCATCAAAGCTGGGTTTTACTATGCTGAGTTTGAGTGCACCATGTTAATGCTTTAGACTTTACAGCATTTCTAGTTCAGGAATCTGAGAAGCTTAAAGCTGTTTTCCAGTCTCTGTGGGTAACTTCTTTAAAATGGCTTGTGATCCCACCAGTAGCTTGAAAGTGATGTTTACTGTGAAGGCTGCTGTCTTGTTACCACAGCGCATTCAGCTCTGTAGGAAAGAACAAATCATTGCTTTTTCTATACGGGCCCACGAATCCCCAAACTGGAATAGTTAAGGCAGCATTGACAGGATTCCTTTTCCACCTACATATCTCTAGATGATAAACATTGAGGGGGAAGGTCAGTAACTTAGAAGCAGCAAAAGAAAACAAATGTGTTTTCTCTCTGATGCACACTCAAATAATGGCAGTATCCAACTTTGTAATAACCTTCTGCTCTGTTCTCTTCCTCCTGATGGGAGGACAAACAAAACATCAGGGGCTGCTGTTTCCTGCCACCCATTTGAATTTTAATTGCAGTTATCTGCCCAGTAGAAATACATGTAAATAATTACTTCTGGAATGCTCTCTAAAGTAAGCCCTTAATGTACAGTGATGATTCAGAAGGACTCACCATCCAAGTTAAGCTTTCTTCTTCACACATGGCACACCCATTTCTCCTCCTGGGCTGTAAGAGGATTTTACTGTTCTGACATCAATGAATTGGAGTGGGTTAGATCTGAGGAATGCACAGATCTTCAGAGAGTAGAAAAAAATCCAATTTTCTTTCTTTTTGACAGCAGTTTACTGTGTTAAATCAAAGGAGAACTTGTCCTCTGTTAGCGGGTCAAACCACTATTAGAGCATTTGGAGCATGGAGATGGGATTGTTCTTTGGAGATGCACAATGTTCTAGGCTGCTCACTGTTTATTTGCTCTTTCCTTTTGTCAGATTCTTTCTCTAATAAACTGTATCTTGAGCTATGCCAAAGGGAGCATTTCTTATTATAAAGTTGACTGCATAAGTCCCCATCTGTGGACTTTATGAACCATATTGCTACCTCCATGGGGAGAGCACAAAAGGCAATACCAATTGTTTCTACTCCCCAAATTCACCTTTTGCAGTTGTTCTTTCAAACCTCATGATGTTTGTGCTGGATGTGGAGATTGTGTAATTTCTTCTTGCTGATTTTATGAGGACCAGATGAAAATTTGTCTTATAAAGCTTTTTTTTAAGGTTGATGAAATAGCAGTTGCATGTCAGCTCTTAACAGTCCTCTTTTATTCACCCATCAGCAAACACCTGTGTGACTCATCTGCAAAGAGAAGCTGATTCCATCTAACTGGTCACGTGTGCCAAAGCAGGGATATACAAGTGCATTGTTCCTAAGAGCTGTTGGCTGCCAGAATCATGGAATGGTTGGAAGGGACCTTAAAGCTCATCCAGCTCCAACCCCTGCCACGGGCAGGGACACCTTCCACTAGAGCAGCTTGCTCCAAGCCCCTGTGTCCAACCTGCCCTTGAACACTGCCAGGGATGGGGCAGCCACAGCTTCTCTGGGCACCCTGTGCCAGCACCTCAGCACCCTCACAGGGGAGAGCTTCTGCCTAAGAGCTCATCTCAGTCTCCCCTCTGGCAGGTTAAAGCCATTCCCCTTGTGCTGTCCCTACAGGCCCTTGTCCCAAGCCCCTCTCCAGGTTTCCTGTAGCCCTTTCAGGCACTGGAGCTGCTCTCAGGTCTCCCCTTCAGGAGCCTTCTCTTCTCCAGGCTGAACCAGCCCAGTTCTCAGCCTGGCTCCAGAGCAGAGCTGCTCCAATCCTTGCAGCATATCCATGGCCTCCTCTGGGCTCCCTCAAGCAGGTTCATGTCCTCCTCATGTTGGTGGCCCCAGAGCTGGGCACAGGACTGCGGGTCTACTCCAGTAGACACCAGCAGCAATACCTAATGATCACACTTGGTCACTGGCCTAACGATCACTGGCTCTCCAGTAGAACTTGGCTCTGCTGATGTTACCCAGGTGTAGCCATGACCCTTGCCTTCTGTGCAGTGTAGCCCAGCAGCGTTTTTTCAGGTGAACGCTTGAGTCTGGAGGTGGGTGTAGTGGTCGCTCTAAGTTGTCAGCAGCCTTTGTGGATTTTACCTGTCTCTGGGCTGGTTTCTACGTCTCTGCAGTCATGGCTATAAAGGGGAACAACAGACTGGGCAGAAAGGATGTGAGCTACTGCCTCATATGTGAATCTTTGATCCCTGAAGCCTTCAGAAAGTGCAAAGATCAATTCCCTTACCCATCCAGACAGTTCATGAAGATACTTTCAGACCTTAAAGAAGGGAGTGGCTATACTAATCAGCTTGCGTGGCCTTAGGGGAGAGGTGGAATCCTTGCTCCATGCAAGGAGGTCACCGATTCAGTTGGTTTGTTTCCACATGTACACTTTTGAAAGTCAGCTGAAATGAGCCACGTTTTCATAAAGGCTCACCCTATAATCTTTCTCCCTTAGGATAAAATTCAAAAGCTATATGAGAGGAAAATAAAAGAGGGCATGGATATGAACTACATCATTCAGAGGAAAAAGGAGTTCCGTAACCCCAGGTCAGTGGCCATCTTCTACTGTGTGACCAAAGCACCACAGAACAAATTCCCATAATTTTGCTCTTTACTGGAGTTATAGCAGAAACAGGATCCCGAGCAAGAAGTACTACTGCTTACGAAAACAAGACAGACATAATATGATGGTAACTGGAAAAATAAAACTTATTTGTGTTCTTTGAGGCAGCAATTAGAGTTGGTGTGGTGGTTAGCTTTCAAATGTACAGGCTTTGGCTGAAGTGTGTTAGAATATGTCTGTTCAGGGAGCTTGATTTTGGGGAAGTGGGAAAAATGTGGTTAATGGCATGCCACATCCATCATAGCAAGTGTAGTTTCCCAGGTTCTGATTTTCCTCTTGCAGTCTGAAGAGGTGACAACCTCTTTCTACTAGCAAATGTGAAACGCTTCTGTTTATTTCTGGTTCACTGGCTCTGTTCTGACTCTTGTCTTTCCTTTGCAGCATCTATGAAAAGCTGATCCAGTTTTGTTCAATTGATGAACTGGGTACAAATTATCCAAAGGTGAGGTGCCATACTTTTGACTGGCAAAGAAATGGTTAAAAGGTAATATACAGGTGTAAGGTTTTACTGAGCCTGCTTGTTTAGAGGTCCTTTAGAGGAATTTTACTCTGATCCTCTGCATAGAAGTGAACATTTTTCTACGGTACTGAGCCTCAGTTCCTTCAACTTTGCTACAGTGATTCTGAACAAAAACTGCTGAAGTGTGGAGATTTATGTGAAATGCTGTGGGGAGAGATAGAAGCTGAGCAGCAGACAAATGCATGACTTTCCCCAGCATCCTTTTGGCTTCAATGCTCTTTTTTCATTCACAACAGAACACGGTCCTATAAAAGGTCTGATGTAGTCTTTGTGTCATTGGGGTACAAGAAGACAGTAGTGAATATCATCAGTGAACAGAAATCCATAAAACATTTTTGAACTGGGCTCTGTGTGTGTGGAAATAGCCCTAATCTGACTGGTTTGGCTTTTTTTTTTCCTCTTTAGGACATGTTTGATCCTCATGGCTGGTCAGAGGATTCCTATTATGAGGCATTAGGTAATTAAAGGAAGTCTTTTTTGTCCTAACTTGGCTCTTTGTGTTTTGTAGTTAATTAACTGCACTGGAGTCTTCACTTCTTTTATAAATAAGAAGTCATCACATGCTTCTCTAATTACTTAATTCTTGTTGGATGTGCCTGAATGTTATTGATGCTGCAACAGGCTGAAAAGCCGTTTCATTTAAATTGGTTTTTCAAGGTTTTCATGTCTTAAATCATTAATTTAGTGCAGTAATGCTTTGATTAAAAAACAGTAGTTAGTTTCTTGGTAGTTTAATTTTCTGTACACAAGGTTTTTATTGTTTATGATGGGAAGTGAGTGAGTTTTTTACTGTTTCTAGTGCTTCTTTTAACTTCTGATCTTCCTCAGCTAAAGCCCAGAAGATTGAAATGGATAAATTGGAGAAGGCCAAGAAAGAACGCACAAAGGTAAATATTCAAAACCAAAAGAGGCAGAGATGCAGGAGTTTTGTTTCTGTCCCTGCTGAGTTTCATTTTATTGCTTTGCTCTTATGAACTGTGCTTATACTTCTTGTTTTTTCCTGATTCTCTCCTTTCTTCTTGCATGTCCTTTTCCAAGCTGCACAGATCAAAGTTCCCTTCCTTACAGGTCCAGTTATCCAGATTTATTCCACTGGATTTCCTTCTGCTTTGTCAGTATTTCGAAACCAGAGGTGTTAAAATGGTGCTCAGTAAGCCAAAAGCAGACAAGATAATGCATAAAAAAAAGCTTGCTTTTTTTGTTTTGTTTCTTAATCTATAATATTTTGCTTGGTGGCATAGCCCAGTTATAGCTTAATTTCCTCACCATATCTCATTGTGAGAGAGTATCTGCTTTATTTGCTTTCTGTTCTCCTTGATATTACTATTTTGCATCTAATTTCTGGAAATGTTTGGCCTATTTTAACTTCAGCTGGGCTTTTCACAAAATGTAAATTCTTATATGCCCCCCCAAAACAACACAGACAAGCTTTGGAAGATTTTATTCCTGTCCTTCAGTGATGTTGCCTTTAAGCCAGTGGCTGGTATTAGAAAACTGTTTAAGGTTAGAGAATGTCATCCCACCTTGCAGAAGACTTTTTCCGTATGCAGTACGTGGAGGTACTTTTTTTTCCTTGCAGTGCATGCTCCGTCTTGTTTCAGTTTTTGCACAGTAACCCAGGTATCTATTACATCCTTGCTCTTATCTGCAGTATTGAAAGTATGAGGGTTCATGCTGCTGTAGCTCTTGTTGCCAGGCTTCCTGTGATGATGCAGTCACAGTGAATCAGGCATGGACTTGTCTTGCATAGAATCATAGAACCATGGAAAAGTAGGGTTGGAAAAGACCTTAAGATCAGCTAGTTCCAAACCCCTGCCATGGGCAGGGACATCTCACACTAAACCATGTCACCCAAGGCTTTGTCTAGCTCCGTCTTGAACACCACCAGGGATGGTGCATTCACAGTGTCGTTGCGCAACCCATTCCAGTGCCTCACCACTGTTACTGTAAAGAGCTTCCTCCTTATATCCAATCTAAACTTCCCCTGTTTTAGTTTGAACCCATTACTCCTTGTCCTACCACTAAGATAGCACCCTAAGGATGGTAGTGAAGAGTCCCTCCCCAGCATCCTTATAGGCCCCCTTCAGATACTGGAAGGCTGCTCTGAGGTCTCCACGCAGCTTCTCTTCTCCAGGCTGAACAGCCCCAACTTTCTCAGCCTGTCTCCATACAGGAGGTGCTCCAGTCCCCTGATCATCCTTGTGGCCTCCTCTGGACTTGTTCCAACAGTTCCATGTCCTTTTTATGTTGAGAACACCAGAACTGCACACAATACTCCAGGTGAGGTCTCACGAGAGCAGAGTAGAGGGGCAGGATCAGCTCCTTCGACCTGCTGGTCACGCTCCTTTTGATGCAGCCCAGGACATGGTTGGTTTTTGGGTTCAAGTGCACACTAAAGCCAGCTCATGTTAAGTTTCTCATCAGCCAACTCCCCCAAGTCCTTCTCTGCAGGGCTGCTCTGAATCTGTTCTCCTCCTAACCTGTGTGTGGGAATGCCCCAACCCAGGTGTAGGATGTTGAACTTGGTGTGTTTCTTAAAAGCAAAAAAGAAGGGGAACTTTTAACTGTACAAACGCATTCTTTAAAGACCAGGATCTTTCTGAGCTATGTTGAATTCCTATGCTTAGATAAAAAACACACTTTTATTGTGTCTGACTTAGAGCTGGGTTGCAGGAATCTTGAATGATCCTGACTTCAGTACGTTTTGGCCTGCGGTCTACATCTTTCTTCCCGCATGACAGCTCAGAGGCCAATGTCCTACATAACATTAAAGCTGTTTTTTAAAAACAGAGTGGCAATGTAAGTTAACGAAAGACTGTGTATCTTAATGACTCGGTTTTTGTCTTTTACCTGTTCTCCTACTTGTCTCTCCCTTCCCAGATTGAATTTGTGACTGGCACTAAAAAGGGTACAACAACAAGCGCCACTTCTACAACCACCACAACAGCCAGTACCACTGTGGGAGGTAAAGAACAGATATGATTGTTCCTGTTAAGCTGTGGTACTGCCTGGATTAGTGCTTCCTGGAAAGCCTGAGGGCTCCTTATTATGTATATAATGCAAGAAAGTATTTCTTCAAGGGCTGATGGACTATCTTTTCTCTAGTCCATATATCCCATGGCTGTCCTTCTGGAATGAAGGACTAGGGCCAGGTAGGATAGTGAAAAGATTTATTAGCAGGTCAAGAAACTTGCTGATACCCGTGGTTGTATTCTTGGGGCTGATACATCTCAAGATATTTGGAAAGACTGAAAATCATTCTCCTGCCTACCTCCTGCCTTTTAAACTGAGAGGAAAGGAGAAAAAATACCAGAGGCTGTTTAGTGTGTCCTGTGCCTGTACCTGAGCAACTGGGATACATGTGCTCTGTTAAATATGCTTTGGGGCAGGGAGTAAACCTGACTCTCATTTGGCTGGAGTTCAGGTGTAGAGTTTTTCTTTGGCTCTTGAGGTGTAAATTTGTCTTCCCTCCTCAACATTTACTGCCAGTGAATGCTGAAATAAATGTGAGGGAAAGTTGTCTAGTCAAGCAGTGGTATGTTAAGGGTTGACAAGACAGGGTGTTAAGAAGGGATTGGTGACCTGTAACATAATGCTAATCCTCCCTTGCTTGATCTAATCAAATACACAGATGCCCAGAAGAGAAAGAGCAAGTGGGACTCAGCCATCCCTGTAACAACAATAGCTCAGCCCACCATTCTCACCACTACTGCAACACTGCCAGGTGTTGTCACAGTGACAACCAGCGCGAGTGGATCCAAAACTACAGTCATATCAGCTGTTGGAACCATTGTGAAAAAGGCGAAGCAATGACCGGTGTGCTGGGCCTGGATTTTTGGACTTAATTGTCATTGCTGTTGTTCTTGGAGGGGAGGGGTGGCTTTTGCCTTTGGGAAAAGTTGACAAGATTCTTTGCAGCAGACCACAGTTCCCTTTGGAAGGAATGGGGGCAGGAGCAGGCACGCCAGCTGTGTGCCTACAGGAATGGACTGCTGCGGAAAATGCTTCTGCCTTTTCTTGCTGGGAGAAGAACTAGTCTGTGTGTGTTGTGCTGGATGAAGCTGGTATCTGGAGTCAGCCTTTTAAACTGCTGTGTTAGGGCCTTGCCCCACTTGTAAGTCTCGTTTATGGGGGGGGGGGGCAGGGAGGGGGAAGGGGCACAAAGCAAACTGTGTGCTAACTCAGTTCCAAGGGTCCATCTTCAGCTGTGTAGCAGAGACTTGAAGTGATCTACATCTGTGAATGTAGATTATTACAGTACTGTCATCTGTACCTGTGTGTGTGTCTGTGTAGATCTTGGTGCCACATGTTAAATAATAACTGTTGAGGAAACTGTGCTGAAATAGTCCTGTGACAGTCTTGCAGGGATGGAGATTTCTGTGTAGAGCCCTTAAGCTGCAGAGGTTCGATTTGTGAGCTCCTTTGCAAATACCTGTGCAGAAAAGACTTCCATTGCTACAGAAGGAGATTGGTCGGTGGATAAGAGGAGAGTGATCTTACTTGTGGTATTGTCCATCTTTATGCTAGATAGTGATGTACTGTGAAATGCACACATGGCAGTTACTGCTTGCTCCACTGTTGTGAAAGAAGTATTTTCAGTTGAAAATTTTATTATATAAATCTTAACTATGTGGCAAAAAAAAAAATAAATCTAAAAATGGAAGTCTGAAAAAAAAAAACCAAACAAAAAAACAAACCCCCACACAACCAAACCTGGTGTTATTGATGTGTCTATGTTTCTCATCTTGGTGGGATGCTTTCCACTAGAGCTGGTCCAGCCTGGCCTTGAGCACTGCCGGGGATGGGGCAGCCACAAATTTTGTTGTGTTCTGGGCTACAGGTGAGTGTGTGATAACTCCATGGGAGTGGGGATGGCAGGAAGGCTGCTTCACATCTTTTTCTAAACCTTGGACTCTGGGTGGGACAGGTGGGGAAGGACATTAAACTGATTCTGAATGAGATACTTTTGTTGTAGGTGTTGTTCTGCAATAGTTGGTAATTCAGCTGTTCTTACTACCTCGTTTGGTTCTTCCCCCTGCCCCACTATTTCTGCATGTTGAACAAATTGTAGCACTCCCACCTGGGCCTTCCATAAAACCATCACCTTTAGAGGCCCACCTCCTGAAAAGGAGCTCAACAGGTGGGTGAAGGGGCTTGTTCCTTGTTTTGAGGTAGGTGAGGGGAGTAACTTGACTGGTTCCATATGTACAGAGAACCAGCTGCTCACCTGGCCTCTTTTTCTTTTTTGCAGTGATCGCTCCAGATTATTTCAGTGGACTCTAATTCTTAGACCATGGTTGTTCAAATTCAGCAGTTTTTCCCATTGTTTTAAATTAAATTTCTACCCCAAGCCTGTTGGGGATTTTTTCCTGCATAAGTAGTAATGGGAAACACAGCTGGAGATCAGCAAAAGCTTCCTAGAATTCAGTGTTGCTTTTTCAGGGTTTATTTTATACCTTATGTTGCTCCTGATCTACATTTTGCGTTTATAAAGCTTGTGACAGATTCCTGAACTCCCAGTCTTCTATGTGGGGATTGTACTGTACTCCGCAGAGGAAGATACATCTCATCGCAACAGGTTGAGGTGTTTATTTCCTTACCTTGGGAAGCAGCTTTTGGGGGCTTCCTTTAAAGGCCAAAGATACACTTGTGGGAAATGCAAGCCATTAGGGAGCTTTAAAGCTCCATAAGGTGACTGTCCTGTGTAGAATGTCTTGTACAATTCCATCCTGTTTAAAAACATGCATGCTATAAATATCTGTTTTAAAGTCCTGTTGAGCTCTTGACATGTGGATGAAGGTACAACAGTAAAACTGCAGCAAAGTGGGCACCAGCTGCTGTGGTTTCTCTTGTATGAGAGACCTCTGGCAAACTTTGGCCATGAGAAGGGTGACTGCAATTGTCTGCTCCTGTGAATAGGGGTGGGAGGTGTGTGTCTGGCCGCCTGGAACAGCTACTGTTATTCCAGTGGGTATCCTTGATATATGTGCTGTCAGAAGGTCTGAAGCTGAGTGAGATCACATATGTCATGGAGATGTGTACAGGTCACAGGAAAGCCCAGAGGTAGCAGCCAGTCCTGTGCCTCCCCTTCCTCTGTCCTGCCCATAACTGGAACTGCTGGTAAGGGCAGAATGGGGGAGTGTGTCAAGGCAGCGTTAATTAACTGATCTTAAACATTTAACTACAGCAGCCACGGAACATCATTTAAATGAAGGTACCTTGTATCACACATCCTGGCATCTCGCCCTTCCATGCACCTTCTTCTTTCTTGCACTGCACTATCCCTCGTCATTCCAAACCTCTGGATTTCTTTGCAGACTTCATGACCAGAGCTAAGAAGTACTGCTCTTTTAGGTCCTACCTTGCTCCCTGCCTGCTGCTCTGGAGCTACAGGAAAACGATCAGCAGGACTTGGTGAGGATGCCCCATCCCTGACAGTGTTCAAGGCCGGGTTGGACACGGGCTTGGAGCAAGCTGCTCTAGTGGAAGGTGTCCCTGCCCACGGCAGGAGGTTGGAACTCGGTGAGCTTTAAGGTCCCTTAAACACAAGCCATTCTGTGATTCTATGGCACATGGAAGAATAAGGAGAAAATTCCCTAACCCAGCTCTGCTGAAGTGTGCTGAGCAGAGATGGCCGTGAGGCACCCGGAGCAGCAGATTTCAAATTTCTGCAGTAATGGGATTCTGCATGAGGGCAGGCTGAGTGATGCCACACTTTGGCAGTCAGCCCCTGAGCTCTCGCAGGAGAGTGTTCACTGCCCGCAGTGCAGAGGGCAACTTGAAATGTGTGTGATTGGTTGGTTGGGGTTTTTCACTCCCTTTCAAGAAGCTGGAGTGGACATGCCAACCATTATGTAACAGACTTGCAGCCAGTACAATAGCTTGCTGCTCTTGTTTATCTTGTGTGTTCCTTCCGGAAGTAATAAATGGATACACAGGTTGGAAACTCCAGTTCCAGCAAAAAGCCTCTTTCCTATCTCCGAGAAGGTGATTGCACTGGTTGCACTTGGCTGTGATCAGTCAGCACACCGGAGACACATGGAGGGAGCTCCAGGTGTGCAAGAATGTCCTGAGGGAAGAAGGATCCTTTCCTGCCCATGAAGCCTCCAAGGGGAGGTTTGACTGGTTGGCTTGTTGGGAATCTGTATGGCTGGGATCGTACCAGGGCCATGTGGCAGCTGCTTGGTGTTGAAGTGCCAGCTGCACTGCAACAGGGATTGCTCACTCTGTGCCTGTTAGCAGTGCTGTAGATGTTCATTCTTGCCTCTCCTCCCACGGGGACACTGACTGTACCCAGGAGGGTAAAACCAGCCCTATTTTCATTATTCCTTTGCCTGAGGATTACAGGCTCATGATCCTTGGAATCTTCTCTCTGCTTACTGCCTTTTTAAGCATGGGTGTCTCCTGGCTTGCACAGGTTTCTCTTAGCTGAAACTCCACATTCGATGTGTGCCTGTGCCAGGCCGGGCTGCACAGCAGACAGAGGAGAGCTTCCATAATGAAATCACCTTTGGCAGGGCTGGTCCTGCTCTCACTCTCCCTTCTGAAGTCTTCTCCCACCTCCATGCCCTGAGGTGTTGCTTTTCTTTCCCGTTTGCTTGTTGTGATTTGGAGATCTGCCCTCCTTTGATGCTGTGGTGAGAAGGGATTTTGTATGTTCAGGACTTGCTTTTATTTTATGTCTTAGCTGTTGCTGTCTCCCCGAAGGAGTGGGTGGGGAAGGGCAGCCCTTGCCAGCCCCACCTCAGACCATAAAATGGGAGCACCTCAAGCTATGTTTTACTTGGATTGCTGCTGTACTGTTCTATGGGAGTTATTTACTCAGAGTACAAAAAATGAAAGAGAAGAAGTCTTCCTTGCCCAGCCTTTGGGTTGTACCGAGGCTTTGCGGAGGGCACAGTGGGCTCCCGCAGGTGGAGGTGATGGTTTCAGCGATATCTGATTTGCTGACCCTGGCACAAGCTCCCTTCCAGCTCTTGGGCATCACAGGGGACAAGAAGTTGCAGCTCCTGCGAAGCCCCTCAAACAGATCGTCCTTGTGATGTGCCCAGAAATTGATCCAAAGGCAGAGGCTGCTTGATCTTGTTGAACAGTGTGAACCAGGACAGCCCAGAGGCATTACCTCCAGAGAAAGAGATGCTGTGCAGTAGGGCTCTCCAAGACTGCCTAATGTTAAATAAGTTGCTATTGGGGTGTGAGATCTCTTCCTTCTGGGGTATGTTTACACCAGCACAGGCATGCATGACTCCCACGGAGCCGTTTTCCATCTCAAGCCTTGCCGAGTGCCACTGTTCCTCTGTTTATATTCAACTTCCTTCCTTTTGTTCTAAGCAGGAACCATGGACACTGATGACTTCCAACATTTCATCTTTGTTTACTTGAAACTTGTCTTTGGCTGGGGCTGGCCTCCTGCTCTCTGTTGCCAATAAACAGCAGAATACCAGGATTTCACAAGAAAAGGTTTTGCCTTTTCTCATGGAAGGCGTCTGTCTGTCTGTCCTCTACCAAGCTTGTTCTTCCTTCTTTGTAGGGAGAAAACGAGCCTGCCTTTTGGTGCAGTGATAAAAGGTGAAGTTACTGGTACTTTTAACCTCTCTTAGCTTTGCGTAACCGCTTGCAGTGGTTGCAGAGCACGACAAAGGTGAGAGCCCAACTCTTCTCCTGGTTTGTGTTTGCAGGCTCCTCAGGAGACCCTCAGCCACATTATTGAATGGGGCCAACACAAAGGGAGGAAAGGTGGGCTGTCTGCTGAAACCTGTCAGACGTAACACCAGTGTGCTTCCAGCCTTCTGACAGCTGGGTATGCCACTGAAGTAACCCTGCAGTAACTTACCTCTTGCTGCTGGCCCATCCCAGGGGAAAATAGGGATCAGTGATGTTCAGCAAAGAGGTTTTCCTTTAGGTGTGTGTTCCTGACAGGAGCATCCACTACAAAACAGACATATAGTTAATGCTGTCTTTGGGGAAAGGCTGAGGAAAAGAACATGGAAGCAGATTTCATCCTGCACTTTTAATTACTTGGGTAATTATATTAAGCACAACTTAGTGCAATAAATTATGTGCACATTAATGTACACTAATAGTGTATTGTTAAGCACTCCTTAAATTTATGCCAGGTAGCAGGATATTGCCACTACACTGTACAGTGCAGCTATGGGATTATTTCTTTTAGCAGTGCGTCTTGTTACGGA